TTACCTGCCTACCACGGCACCCGGCGCAGGACGGTGCCGGTCATCGTGAAGGACCGGCTGCTCAAGATCCCCGACAACATCCAGATCCGCATTTTGCCGGGCCACATCCCCGGGCAGTTCTTCACCTTCTGCACCCCATCCCTCGACTACGCAAAAGCATACTCCGAGGCACTCATCGTGAGTGGACGGACGGACGGACAATTCCCATCCATCCCCCGAGTCAGTCAAGTCGGTACTCGATGTGATGTCTGCTGGTTCGTTTGCGTGTGCATCCCTCCCTCCCTAGGTTGATCGTGGCCGGTGGTGTTACGTGGTGCTGCAGGTGCGCATCGACCCGGAGGCCTATATGGTCAACGATTCCGCTCAACAATTTCCGACTGTCGCCAGCAGAGGTGACATGAGATGAGATGAGATGAGAGAGCGGATACCTGCAGCCGCCTGGTCAGTCAGCCTGGTCACGCCGCTGTCTGTTGGTGTTTGCTCCTGGCCCTCCTCCTCAGCCAAGGACTCGGTGCACGCGAGAACCGTCCACAACCGGTCCAACTGGCCGCCCGACTGGACTGTCGGTCCACACAAACACAAACACACACACACACACACAAACACACAGACTGACAGACAGACAGACAGACAGCACTCCTCTCCTTGATTGATTGACTGATCCATCCATCCGTCCATCTATCCATCGATAGGTTTTGGAGTGGAAGTCGAAGCAGTGCGGCAAGAATGTGGTGTATGGTGTGCTCGTCCGACCAACAACGGACGCGGAGCCTCCTGCCCTTGCCGAACTGCTCCCCGTCGAGCAGCGCTTAGTGGCCCGGTGGGCCTGCCTGCCTGCCTACCTCCTACCCCAACCACTGCGTGTGCATGCTCTCTGCCCTTCCCGTTCTCTCGTATCAGGGCCGGTGGTGGTGACATCGCTTCAGCAACAGGGGATCTGGACCGTGCCATAGAGCAGTATGTGTCGGCGGTCGAGCGTCCAGTGGAGCAGTCGGTGCAGTCGAAGCAGCCGGCTGTCGAGAGCGGTGCTGTCAAGGAGGGTGCGGCCGATGACGATGCTGCTGTAGAGGCTGTGGGGGCGGAGCTGGCGTCCGATGAGCAAGAGGACCGTCCGTCTACTTCTTCGTGCATTGCGTGTCTGCCTCTTCCACAGCTGTTGAGCACGGCCAGAGGAGGGCGGAGAGGGGGGAAGCGGTCCTGACAGAGCGTGTGTGTGTGTGTGTGTGTGTGCTGTGTGTGCTGTGTGTGCTGTGTGTATGTATATCTATTTGTGTGTATGTGTATATGGACGGGCCATGTGGTGTGGGCGTCAGACTGCCCTCCCCTGTCTGTCTGTCTGTCTGTCTGGCATTAATACTTATCCGTCCATTCCTTTGTCTTTCGTGATGTTTTTTGGGGGGGGTCATTTCCGCCACCCACCGAGTGACGAAGGGATGCTCATGCGCGCAAGTCCGTACGTCCTCTACTACATACTGCTACACATAGGAAGGCTCCATTCCCTCTGTGTGTGTGTGTGTGTGTGTGTGTGCGTATTGTGCATAGCTGCAGCCGCGTGGCTGTATTTGCGTGTCTGCGTGAGTGCCGCTTTATTGAAGCTCTGACGATCGATCTGCGCACCTACCTGGTTTTCGCCTTTCTTTTGCGTCTGTCTGTCTGTCTGGTTTTTGAAGTGTTGCAGACTGACTGTGTGATGGATGTACTATATGGCCATCTTGTACGCTGTGGAGACGTGAGTGCATTCACGGCTGTGGAGACAGACCTGTGAGTAGAACAAATATGTAAGGCATAAACAACACCGAGGACTGTTTTGTCGTCGAAGTTTGGTGAAGAGTGTCACACACCCATGAGCCAGCCCCAAGAGAGAAAAATCCCCGCCC